GTGAGTGTGAGGCTTTTTTTTTAAGTGCCAGGAGGCTGGGGCTGGGGAGGCAGCAATTGGGGGGGCTGGGGGTGCAATCAGGGGATGGGGCTGGGTGGGGAAGTCACTAGGGAGTGTGGGGAAGTTGGTGGGAGGTGGGTCTGGGTGGGGCAGCCATCAGGGTGGGGGTGCAAGCAGGCAGTGGGGCTAGGTGGGGCAGCCATTGAGGGGGGCTGCAGGAGCTGGCAGGGCATGGGACCAGGTGGGATACCAATCCATGGGGAGCAAGCTGGGGTGGGGCATGTGGGCCCTGCAGAAGGAGGTGGTAGCCCCTGTGGGGCCATGTGGCCCCTGTTGGGTGGGCTGTAACCCCTGCTGGGGACCTGTAGCTGCTCTTGGAAGGCAGACTGTGAACTGTGCAGGGGGTCTATGCCCTGCAGGGAGCAGGGGACACACCCCTCCTGAGCAGGCCCCTCACAGTCCCCCCACAATCCACCCACACCTACCAACACACCCCATGGCCCCCCACATTCTTCCACAGCCAGCCACATCCCCATACTCCCCCTTCCCACCCCCCTCTTGCAAACCCCACATCCCACAGTCCACACCCTGCATACCCAGCTGCCAGACAGAATGAGACCTGCAAGCAGGAGTTCTGGATGCAGGGGCAGCTGTCCACACATCTTGGTCACTGAAAGGGTCAGGGAAAGCTCTAACTGCTCTATGGTAAGAAAACCAAAGGCAAACAGCAAAACATCAATAAAACATTCCCCAACTCATCTCTCACTATATATATATATATATGTTTAGTGATCTTTTGTTTTAATTGTGGAGGAACATGGATTTGGGGGTATTTCACAGAGTGACTTTGGATTTTTTTTATCAGGGATTTTTCAGTTTTCAAATAAGTAACACAAGAATTCCTGTTAGGGAGGCAAGTGTCAGGACCCAGGCAAAGGATCCTGCTCAGAGCTGGCACCTTGGACCCAGCTGAAAGTGGCTGACCTGTTATCTCTCAGCTCTGTGTTCTTAGGGAACCCTGGCATAGTACACAGCCTGTCTGACTCACAAAGGACTCACCCCCGCCCCACCTCTGCCTGAACAAGAACTGATTAGAGGAAGGACTTACAAAAGACAATGAAGATGCAGTGGGAGATGCATCTAAAGCCCTCCAGACAAGTTTGATAAGAGTGAAGCAACTCCCCATATCTCATTTGAATCAGAGATGGAACTGGATGACAACACATTTAAATGGGAGATGAGACAGGAAAGCACCTTCATTAGCATTTAGGATGGACAACAGAGATTCCAAGGCAAGGACCGCACTGAATTCTTGGACCACAGAAGCAGGGGAGCACTGCATGATGGGGAATCCTTGCTCCAAATGCTAATCAACCTATATCTATACACACCCAGCTCAGCATTTATCAGACCAATTCTAGTCATTACTACTTTATTGGTACCCAAAACATTGAATCTGCCTGTCTGTATTGTGAGTTCCCTCAGAGTAATGCCACCCATAGCCAGGAGTGATAAATTCCTATTATCCAGCATATGAGCCATTGTTTACCCATAAGCAACCCTAGAGTTCACCCTTGAGCCATTGGTAGTTCTTTACAAAAACTCCTACCCAAACTTAAGTTTCTGTCCTGGTGCTTGGATCCAAAAGCTGCCCCAGTTCCACTCCTTTTTCTGCCTGCAATCCCTCCATTGATCATGCTCAGAACTCTGCCTGTCTGCAAGCTCCAACAAACACCCAGTCACCTCATCTGCTTCAAGCTTCACTGAGTGGTGAGACCCCAACTCTCTCTCACTCTCTCTTCCTCTCCCTCTCTCTCTGAATCCAGGAACAAAACTTTTACTCTCTTGCACAGCTTTCTAAATCAGACTTTTGCTGATCACTCTCTCTTTGATTCCAGGAGCCTGACTTTTATTCTCTTACTCCAGGCACAGCTTTCTAAACCTGACTTTTGCTAATCAAACTTGAGCTAGATTTCCACAAATACCTAATTGAAACTATGCAATATTGTAACTGTTTTCTTTGTCTCTCTTGTATGGTTATTACTGTTGGTATCATCATATATTCATATACCTGGCAATAAATAACATTTATGGTCAAGCTAGTTGCCATACTCTCTCTGAACCTCACTTACTCTTTCTTCCCCTTGACCTCCCAATTTGTTCTGCAGCAATGCTTCTTTTACTTAAGCCAAAGTTCCCTGTAATGCCCAATACTACAATGGAGTCTGCTCATCAAGAGGGTTACTACTAGGTCTGGTGTCCTCCAGCTGGCTTAGGTGGTAGAGCAAGGAGGGCTGCAAGGCCACTTGAGGTGCTGGCCTCATGACAAACTCCAGTGGGCTGGAGGACATTGGAGAGGAAGGATGGGGATGCCACCATACAGGACCTGGTCAACAATGGCAAAGGCATCTGGAGCTAGGGCAGATTTTACTTTCTGGAACAGACAGCAGGTCACACGTGTTATAGGTAGACCCAATGACCAGGCCAGAGAGTGGGGTCCACCCACTCCTGCCTATTGTAGTCCAGCAGGACTCTGATACAGGAGACACCAGCCAGGATCAATCTCTGTCACAACCAGGGCACCTCTGCTGTCAGCACCTCCAGCTGGGGGTTCCAGAGGAGGGGCTCAACAAGCAGGTCAGATCCCTGGGTGAGTGCTGCAGGGTACTTGGAGGCAGATACCAGCCTCCAGGCCTGGAAGAGGTCCTGGTACAACTATGGCAGCCCTTGAATGCCCTGCAAGGAGACGGCCCACAGGCCGAGGAACTGCCAGTCATATCAGAACCTTCAGAAGTGGTGGAGGAAGGCGCACCCCAGGTGGCCCCATGCCACATGGCTACTGACACCATATAGCAGTCACTTCAGGACCTGAAGATGGAATGTCAGGACCTGGCTGTGCAGGAAAACCAGGCCCTGGGCGCCCTCCCACAAGGGGATACTCAAGACCTCCACAGTGACCCAATGCCATCCTGGCCAGAAAAGCTCCAGCATCCATCTCTAGAGCGCTGCCAGGACCTCAGGGGGCACAGGCAGGGTGTGTAAGTTGTGCCAGAGCATGGACAGGACCAGCTGGTTCAGCACCAGCACTCTCCCACTCAGGGTGAGACACCTCAGGAGCCCTGTCCATGCCCAGAGCCACTCCAGCTGGTACCAGTTGTCTAGCAAAAAGAGGTCTGTGGGAGACAGGTAGACCCCCAAGTAGACCAGGAAGCCTGTACTCCAGCAGATCCCATCAGGATTTCCTCAAGTTCATCCCTGGCAGACTGGTTCCACTCCCTGCCCAACAGGTACTACATGTCTTGGCAAGGACACCAAGGACCAGGTGCTCGCAAGAGTTGAGAGTGCCAATATAAGCGGCTGACTGGTGGAAAATTCCACCAACTCTGGGTCCCTTGCAGGGGCATACACATTCAGAAGGTTCAGGACCAGCCCCTGCTCTTGGACCCAGAGGTGCAACAGAGGGTTCAGTAGCTGAACTCATTAGGGTCTCCTGCAAAAATATTACATGGTACTCCACCTCCTCAAGAAAGGAGTGCACCCGGCATCTCCATAGACCCTTCCTGCAGCCGTGGACATTGAGGGTCATCATCTGAAATGACCTAATGGCTGGCAGGGTGGAGTAGACAGTTCAGCAGGGGCCTCATGCATCTCAGCACCAGGTGTGGAGTTCACAGACTCATGCAGCACCCTCCCATAAGTATAGAGGGTGTCTGTGAAACTGTGGGCCCACCTATAGATCAAGGCATTGTACATTTTGGGCTCCTTGTGTTCCCCCACCAGTGCCCTCACAGTGGCAAGCATGCTGTCAAAAATCTCCCCAGCTGTCTGAGGCAAATTGTACCTTGCTGGTGGACTGCTGTGTGTAGTCATGGTCAAGAAATGCAAGTAGCTTACCCCTGGGGACCACTGACACCAAGAGCTCCACAGGATCCATGGAGCCTGATGGTTCTTGGGTATCTTCCTCCTGGTTCTGGGGCTCAATGGACTCCTTAGGCACCATCTGAACCCCCCCAGTCTGCTAAGACCCTGGACTTCAGTTGGGATTAGGAGAGCTCTGTAGCCCCTTGGGACAGAGGTGGGATTAAGGGTGGAAGTGGGTCTCCTTCACAAGATAGTAGGGCAGAGCTGGAGGTGGTTGGGGGGTGGGGGCTGTGCAAGGTCCCTGACAAGATCAGCCTGTTGATTAGGGGCTCCCATCCCAACCGACTCTGGTGCAGCACCATGGGGCAGGCTGGAAGTGAGGATTTTCTGGGAGGGGGATGGAAGAAATCTGGGTGGCTTTAGTGTCCACCTCAGGGTCCTGGAAAAGGGGATGTCCCTTCTCAGGATTCACTGGGGTGAGCCCCAGGGCCCCTGTCACCCCCAGATCATCATGGGGGGCTCCAGTGCCAGACTTTCCTTTGGGTAGGCTGAGACCTCAGCCTTGGCACTCATGGTCTCAGGGATAGGCCCTGGCCAGCAGAGTGAGGGGCTTCCTCTGTGGGCTTCTGTTTGGGACTGTCCAACAGCCCCAGCACCTCCTCCATGGGGATCACCCATTTGGTCTTTCGGGGGGGGGGATTGTCAGGCACAGCCAGGGAGGCCCCTGGTTGCTCAGCTGCTCCTTCTCCTCATGTGTTGGTCTTGGGAATGGGGGGACAAGTCCTCTGCATCACAGGGCTCTGGCTGCACCCAGGCCTTCCTCTTGGCTTTGCGCCTGGAGGGGACCTGCAGGCACTCGACCATGGGGTGTTCCTCAGGTGCAAAGGCTCCAGGAAGAGACGGTGAAGATTGCGGGGTGGGACAGATGAAGTGGGGCATGACTAGGAGCAGGGGAGCTCTTCTCCATCTCTCCTCTTGGCTGCTGCTGTCCTCCCTGGGACTCCGCCAAACTTTGTTTGGGGGTGGGGTCCCCTGAGCTCACAGGGGGGCTGGATGATGTGGCTGGGATGCCAGGGGGGCCTGAAGGGTGAGGGGTACCTGCATCAGGGGCACTGCTTTCACCAGTGGGACCTGCAGATGCCCTCTTCTCCTGGCCCATGGGGCATTTGTGTCACAAGTGCCCTGGGGTACAGTACCAGGAGCATTGCTGGTCCTCCAGTGTATAGGACACGCTCACCAGGGCCCCCTTCAAAAAAAATCAAGAGGCTCCCCTCGACATCCAGCCACATTCCCACCACCAGATGGATCATAACCTGGCAACAGAAACAGTGCACAAGGCAGAAGCCTGGATCTCAGCACCCCAGCAAGGAGGGCCACCACTAGGGAGATAACTCTCCCCAGGGTTTGGAGTGGGGGGGACCACAGCCCAATTAGGGATATAGGGAGCAAAGGAGCTGAGGACCACCCTGGTCCCCAGCTCTTCTAGGGACTCAAGATGAGTGTACTCACCCTCCATGATGAGCCCCCTCTCCACTGCCTTTTGTGCAGCAGCCTCCAAGGCAAGGTAGAAGTCCCCCTTGCCATGAAAGCAGGAGGTTGCCATGATCTTGGTGCCCCCCACTACCCAAGCCAGGGCCTGCATTCAGGTCTCAAAGTGCAGGCTCTTCCACTTGGGTAGTTGGCATTTCATCCTGTGCCTGTGGGTGAGTGCTGGAAAGGGGGCCCTGCCATCTGAGCTGGAAGGGCCAGTGGTGGAGGGTCCAGGCCACACAGCTTCAGGTCACCCTGCAGCCACTTGTATATAGCTTCAGTTACCCCACTGGGGGCCCATGGGGCCAGGGACAGGCTGTGTGTGTGTGCTGGCTGGTGTAGTGCACCTGATCCCCTCAGGCACCAGTGGTCTGCGCTTGGGGGCAGAGCCCTTGCCCTTCCCACCCCCAGCTGTGGAGAAGGCTGAAGAGAAGCCCTTCCCACTTCCCTTGCCCTTGGTTCCTGATGATGGGAGAGGGTGCTTGGGAACCCCTCTAGGGCAGGCTGGCCAGAGGAGACCCCCTGGCCCTCTTGACTCCCTGCTGGAGTCCTGCCTGCCCCTGCAGCAGAGGTTCAAGGCTTCTCTACCCCTGGAGGAAGTTGGTTGGACTCTGCCTTCAAGGTGGTGGCTGCAGGGGCATGCATCTCCTTGGGGGCTTAGCTAAAATATGTCCCCATAGTGGGGGCTGCAGGAAGCTCTGTGGAAGCATCTCCCCCCCCCCGATGGTGCCTGCCTTAAAATTGCTTCACATGATGGAGGGGAAAACAATAAACAAAACCAAAATATACAGTGGGGCTGGTGAATCTAATAGGGGCAGGCTGGGATTGTGGAAAGGGGGCTGAATTTCACTGAGCTACAACCCCACAGGAAGAAAACTGGGAGGGCAATGCTTGCAGAATGTGGGAGAGGGGGAATACCACACAAGGACAAGAACATACAGGGAACGCTGCTGAGGCAGATGTAAAAGATGGCTGGAGTGGTGGAGGGGCTTTGTTTGCTGAAGGTCAGTCCAGGAGACCCTTAGGCCTCCAGCCAGGCACGGGGGGAGGGGGCTGTGGGCCATCTGGAGGGCAGGCGGGTTATGCATCCATCCTGAGGAGCACCCCCTACAGTCACCCTCCCCCCCAGTTCCTTGCACCCAACAGTCACCCTCCCCCCAGTTCCCTGCACCCAACAATCCCCTTCTCCAGTCTTTCCCACCCCACCCAGCAATAGAACTTGGGTCCAGATCCCTGCTGCCTGCAGCACTCTGAGCAGCCATAGAGATGCTCTGGCCAGCTACCCCAGCCTCTGGTTGCCTCACTTTTTTCTGTGGGTTTTTGTTTTTGTTTTTTTGTATCTGGATATCCAGATATGCAGCACAAGGAATGGGGTTTTTTTTTGTTGTTCCCAGCATACCTCTTGTCACATCTCAAATGGTTTTGAGATGTGGCAAGAGGCACGTGTGGACTCATTTGGATGCATCTCGAGAGTGCATTTTCACATGCAGGGGCGTGAACTTGAAGTGGCCAAAATACCAGCAGCACAAACTCATCTGGCTACTTTTTGCCTCAGTGCCCTTGGACATGGACTTTGATGGTGTGTGAATTACCTTGCTTCAGACAAACTGCCCTTTTCCCACTTCTCCTGCATCTCAGCATGATGGAGGAGCCAGGGCATAACTAAAGGAGCAGAGAATCAGCCAGAGGACTCCCTGGAGAACCAAGCCTCCATGTCTGCATGCACCCATTCCTGTTGCATATGCCACACCACTTTTTTCTCATAATTTATTTTATTTATTTATGTATTTTGCTACCTGTATTTTGCAGTAAAAAAATTTGCCCCCGTGCTGCAAATTAGCAGCATGGTTCATATGTTAACATTTTTGGTGTGTGGTTTGTGACATCACAAAGAGATTTGCAGTGCCACAGACCACACATGTCTGTGCATGTGGATGCAGCCACAGGGTGTGTCCAGATGAACATAGACATGCAGTATGCAGTGCAGCAGACCTATATGCGGTGTCACATACTACACATGCCACATATGCAGGCATTCCCTGCACTATTACTTTGCAATGCAGGGGGACTTTTTGACCCCAGAAGATCAAAACCAGGACCTAGCATGTCAGAGCCACACTCTAGCTGCTGGCCAGGCTCCCTTCTTCAGGAGCATCACCACTGCTGCAGCTCCTGAAGGCCCCCAGGACCCCAGGTAAGGCTTCTGGAGTCAGCACAGTGTAGATGTGTGCAGTATGTCATAGCTATTTTGTGTCAAAACATTCTGATATCTATGTTGAGATTGTCAGATAAATATATTATTTTTATGAGGAAGAAAAAAGACTTTAAAACCCCCCAAACCTCTTCTATGACAAATCAATATACTTTAAGTTTCCCCACTTTATTTATTGTTTGATGAAAGTAGAGAAACCATCCTTGACTTTTAAATCAAGGCCATGCTTGTGAGCCTGCACATCCAACTTGCTGGTGTTTCTCCATCTGCCTGCATTTATGTAATATAATGTTTGAATGACACATCTGATCCATTCCAAATTTTAAGAGAAAGTTCAAGATATCAGTGGGCAGAACCATGTTGATTATGAAAAAAATCTGAAATTGAAAAGGGGGAATAATGTGGGTATTAGGGGTGTGTGAAGTGGGACCTATTCAATTCAGATTCAGGCCGAATCAGGGACAGTGATTTGATTAGTTGATTTGGATCTCTGTCCCTGATTCAATTCAGCTGAATCCAAATCTGAAGATTCAATGCTGATTTGGACAATCAGCAATTTGGGCATAGACACAGCTTTAAAAGTTTTTTCTACATACCTTGAGGTAGCAGGCACAGCTCATGATTTCTGCGATGCTAGGGCAGATGGAATGTCCAACAGTAGTGTGGGGGGGCCATCCATGTGCTCGGCAGTGAACCTGGAAGTGGAGCGGAAGTACTTCTGGTCCACTTCTGGATCTACTGGGAAGTGTGCGGGGAGCCCCCCTGAGCCCCCTGGCTCAGCAATTGGCTGCAGGGGGACCTCATGTACCTCCACCCCCAGACCCAAGACATACCAGTTGCTGAGCTGGGGAGTGCGGGGGAGGGGGCGGGGCTGCGCACTCCCCAGTGAACCCAGAAGTGAACTGAAAGTGCTTCTGGGTCTGCTGCTGAGAGTGCTGGGGAGTTCTCTGTGCTTTTGTGGGACACCCCATATATTCCAGCATCACAGCATTCATGAGCCCCTGCTACCTAGAGGGTTGTAAAAAAAATATTTAAAGCTGTCTCTGTGTCCAGATATCAGAATCTTTCTGAATCTCCCCAAACCAATTCAGACAGATTAAATAGTTCTCTAATTCAATTTGGATTTGGAATTCAGCCGCCAAATCGGGTTGAATCTCTGCCAAATCGAATCAGGGACTGAAGCTTCACACATCCCTAGAAGGTATCACTGAGGTATCACTCATTTTAATTTGCTTAACATGATACAGCTTCTAGCACTTCTCAATGGCTTGAGAAGAAGAATTATAGTAAGAGGAGAGGAGAAACTGGGGCATGAACCCTTTGTATAGGAACAGGACTTGGAGATCCTAGTATAGGAGGAACCAAATGTAAAGAACAAACCAAGATCCTAGCAAAAGGAAGATCTAGAGAGAGTTACAGGAGGAGAATAAGAATGTGGCACATGGCAATATAGTAGTATATAAGGAAGGAATGCATGGAGACCATGTGTGTGACATACAGAAACAATGAAGTATGTAACTCCTTTTGCCCAGCACCCAAAAGCACCTTTGTGCAGTTGTTCAATACAAAATAGATGTAAACATTTTTTTTTTATTAATGATATGGGGCTTAGTTAACAAATGTTAACTCTTTTTTGGTTTACTGAAAATGTTAAGTAATGATTTTGATTATGATGGTGGTTAAGTTTCTATTAAAAATATGTTCTTGAAAACTGGAAATGGACTAATTTTGAACCATACAAAATGGAAAAGGGTTAGAAATTCCTCATGAAACTGTCTGATTATCTCAAAAAGAAACACAGATAATTAAAATGACAAATTCCCAGATTTCACTCTCTGTCTTACAGGATACAATAAATATGAGATCCTTTCAAGCATTATGATTCGTGACATAATCCCTTTATCTTGAGCCAGGCAAATATACCAGTTGATGATATAAGTCCAGCATTTCTTAGAGATAGTGAACATCAGATTTGGAAAGCTTTGCCTTGTATTAGGGTGCTTGAAACCAGACCCAAACCTATATCTGTATCTCATGGCCTTCTCTCTTGAATAAACATGCCAACTGCTTACAATATTCAGATAATTTAATTAATTGTTGTCCAAGTAAAATTCTAGGGAGGTGCTGGCAACACATGAGTCAAGTCTGATCATGCGCAGATAACACTGGCTCATGGAAATTTCCACAGCATGCCCAGCACGTGCCCCCTGGGTGCCCTGAAGCTCTGTCAATCACCTGTGACCTACTTTTCAATCACCAGTGACCTACTTTTCAGCCCTGCGCATGCCTAGTTACAACACAGAGCTCTAACTCACATATGCTCAGTTAAAAAGAGCATGACGTAATTGTGCTAGAAAATTCTAACAGCCAAGTGGCCTGATTGGCTAAGGGGCTGCTATATTAGTGAG